CCTCCCTGCATCCCCCCGCGCCCGCAGACATCGCATTGCGGGTGGGGAGTCGCGGGCCCCGGGGAGGAAGGGACCCCTGCCACTCGGGCTCGGGCTGTCCCAAGGGAGAGGGAACAGGGGGGGTGTCCCTGCACATCCCGCACCCCCCTGTAGAGTCCCCACGTCCCCCTGGCTGCTAATCCCAGGCATGCAGGTGTGGGAGCATCCTCGAGGCTGCCCAGGTGGCAGGGAGGACACGGCGGGGTCAGGCGGCACCCCTTGACCCCTGCACCCCCAGGCCACGGCCAGACTGGACAGGCCCCGCCAGGGCCTGCCTCCTTGACACCTGCACCCCCAGGCCACGGCCAGACTGGACAGGCCACGCAAGGGCCTGGTCCTGCCGGCCCACTGGGTGATAAAAAGTTCATGATCCGGTCCCACATTCAAAAAGGTTGGACACCCCTGTATTAAAGGATCACGGACAAACTTTAAAAATGGATTCTCCTTTAAAGGAGAAAAATGTGGGAAGCTGTGTCTTTTCCCTTGTAGAGTTCCAGCCTGCAAGGGGCTGCTTGGGGTCCCACTCTGCCCCACACACCCCCCCACCCCCTGCCTCACACACTGAGGGGCTGGGGCCTGGCGTTGGAGCGTGAATGATGTGTGCCCCCGGGGGGGAAGGGCAGGGCATGGCGACTGCCTGCAGGCAGGGGTGGTGGGGGCATGGCAGTGGCAAGCAGGGAGCTCCTGCAGGCAACCATGGTGGTGTCAGCGGTGGGAGGAGGGTGGTGACCACCTGCAGATGCCGCTGGCAGACACTGACACTGTTAGGGAGGGGGGTGAGCAGCAACTGTCCACAGGTGCTGTCAGCAGTGGCGGCATCAGCCAATCGCAGAGGGTGCACTGCCAATCTCAGGGGATGCACATGCACCTGCGTGCATTGCCAATGGGTTAGAGGGTTGGGAGTGAGGGTTTGGACCGGGCCCCATAACTGGGTTGGGACTGACCATCGATGTTTACAAATGGGTCCTGGTACAAAAAAGGTTGAGAACCACTTCTTTAGAGGAAGTAATACTGGGGCAGAATGGTGCAGGTCTTCCAGGCCTCTCTGCAAGCAATTGTCTTATACAAGACAAAATGGCTTGTTGACATTACAGGTTGTTCTTTAATGGAACTAGATTTATTCTGAAATGTTTCAGATCCAGTAGACTTTTATTAACAAAAGCTACCCCTAACTGAGATTGAGATCTACTGAGGAAAACTGCTAAGTGCTTTATAAGGGAGCTCACCATTATGATCTTCATTTACAGACAGGAAAACTGAAGCACAAAGAGAAGAATTAACTTGCCTATGATCGCTCCACAGATCCACAGTTGAGACAGGAAAAGGATGTCAGTTTCTTAAGTTTCAGTCCAGTGCACTGTCCACTTGGTCACACTACCTCTAAAAGCTAATCTGTTTCCACTCTTTTGATTGTGACATTATAAATAGTCTGTAATTGCCAAGGTTTCCAGGATGAGTGCTAGCTTGTTCAAGGTAGTGCCAGTTGCTCAGATTTGGACACCAATTCTACCAGCAGATTCCCTGCTCTATATAGAGCAGCTGGCAAATGGGGGCCTGCTGCAGCAATATGTTCAGCAATTGCAGCTGTGTGATGAGGCACTGGCTGTGAAAGGCATGTCTTTCAGCTTTCCTACAGCCACCCCCTACCCCGCCAAACCCCAGATGTAGTCCATAGACTTCTAAAAACAACCCA